AGACAGAGTGTGGGACTGGATGGACCTTTGGTCTGATCCAGTATATTTTTTCTTATGTTCTTAAGTTTTATTGCCTGCATGAAGATGGCATGCAGAAGCTAGCCACAGGTAGATGATCCAGTGGGAGCACTCTCTTCAAAGGCATTCCTTAGGCTTCAAAACACAATGAATTTCCTGTGGACAAATTAGCTCTTTGTACATGCTTTAAAGCCTCAGCCTTTGGGCAGCACCTATGTCTACCATTGCCACATGAGGCATTTACATGAAGGCAAACAGGCTGCTGAGCCACAGCATCAAGTATTCTAAGGTAGAACATTTGGTGGAATGGGTGTGGACACAAAGACAAAGGCCAATTTGGTAAGTGTCCCATTTGTGAGCAGGCACTTGTTTGTGACCTCGTGGGCAAGGTCCTGGTAGAAACTAAGGACACAGAAAAGGTTCTTTGACAGAAAAATAAAAAAGGCAAAACGCTTCCTAACAAATGCTGAGCCCTTTCAGTCCTTCAGGTCCTCCTTTCCTTCCAGTTATGTGCCAGGAAAGAAGGCCCAGCTCTGCATTGCTATTTGGGTCTGAGATTTTTCCAGTGCTTGGAAATGACTTTTTTCCAGCCTCCAGGTTGAAAAGATAATACAGATCTATTCCCTAAAATTCTGAAAGTGCCTTAGAACTGAAATCAGATCAGTAAGAATGATGTATGAATCAGCCACTGTCTCCAGATGACCCAACCTTGATGAGTTGGCTGGCAGTGCATGCTTGTTCTGGAAAGAAAATGCATCTCTGAATGCTAGCAAAGCTGATAGGAAAGGTGGTTGTGTCAGAAGTCCATCCAGTGTGCCAGGTCCCACACAGGACTACTGCAGTCCTTCCTGTTGGCCTTCCAAATGGAGGTAGTGAATAGGATCAGCCCCATGGTAGAACCCCTGATGGAAGTCATCTGCTCCCTGAACTGATTGACCTGCCCAGCCTCTCGAGGGCATTCTTCTCCAGACTCTAGCATGTATCTCACTAGCCATGTATGCTTGCCTAATGGGGTACAGTGCCATCTGCAGGGACCAGCATGCACATGACCTCAGATCTGAGGAGATTCAAAACAGCATCACTAACTCTTTCAGGACCAAATACCTAAAATGTATTTTCAACAGTCAAGCCAACTGGCTTAGCAGTACCTCCCTGGACTCAGGGAAATCACCATTCAGTCCAGAGTCATTCAGGTTGCTGTTGGCCTAATTGGGCCTACCAAGCACAAAGCTTTCAACATAGTGCCACACGACATTCTGATAAGCAAATTAGCAAAAACTGGACTAGATGGAAATACTATTTGGTGGATCCAAAATTGGCTACTAAATCAGTCACAAAGATTGCTCATCAATGGCACCTTCTCAAATTGGATGGAGGTAACTAGTGGGGTGCCACAGGGTTCAGTCCGCCTGGCACCGTCGTTATTTGTTTTTCGGCACCAGGCTTAAGACCTTTTTATTTAAAACTTACTTTAATTGTTAAATTATTTGAATTAATAGGTTTTAAATTTTTAGCCGAGAATGCACCAGGGGTTTTTAAACAGTTTTTTAAAATTGTTATATTGTTAATATTTATGTATTTATGTATCCTTTGTGAGCTGCCCCGAGGCTTTGTTGCGATGGGTGCAGCATAGAAATGTTTTAAATAAATAATATAATAAATAAACAAACAAACAAACATCTTTATTAATGATTTAGATGAGGAAGTACAAGGAAAGATAATCACATTCGCAGATGACACAAAACTGGGTGGAATAGCAAACGCCCTAGAAGACAGAATGAAGATCCAGGGCGATCTTGATAAACTTGAACACTGGGCTGAAACCAACAGAATGAGATTCAATAAGGACAAGCGCCAAGTCCTCCACCTAGGAAAAAGAAGCCAAAGGCATTGATACAAGACGGGGAATACGTGGCCCAACAGAACTGAACAAGAAAAAGATCTTGGAGTAATTGTAGACAATACACTAAGTATGAGCCAACAATGCCATGCAGCTGCCAAAAGGACAAATGCTATTTTGGGATGCATTAACAGAAGTATTATTTCCAAATCACAAGTAGTAGTAGTTCCTCTATACTCGTCACTAGTCAGACCTCACCTGGAATACTGTGTCCAATTCTGGGCACCAAGACTTAAGAAAGATGCAGGTAAATTAGAAAGGGTCCAGCAGGTTTGGAAGCACTGTCCTATGAACTGGGCATGTTCAGCCTTAAGAAGAGAAGACTGAGGGGGGACATGATATCCCTCTATAAGTACCTCAAAGGCTGTCACAAAGAGGAAGGTCAAGATCTGTTCTTGCTAATGCCAGATGTAGGACACGGAATAATCAATTTAAGTTGTGGCAACCCAGATTCAGACTGGACATCAAGAAAAGCTTCCTCATGGTCAGAGCAATACAACAATGGAACCAGCTGCCTAGAGAGGTGGTGGGCGCTCCCACACTGGAGACATTCAGAAAGAACCTGGACAGCCATCTGAGTGGGATGGTGTAATGTAGTGTCCTGCAACAGCAGGGGGTTGGACTCAGTGGCCTTCATGGCCCCTTCTAACTCTTCTATTCCATGATTCTACGCCTCACCACCGCAAGAAGACTAAGCTACCCAGATTTGTCACCCACTTCCAAGCAAAATTACTGATTTCATAGATGCCTTAAAAGCCAGTGGCCTTGAGACCTTGCATATTCTTTCCTACCTCTGCCACTGATCATGCATCAAGATCCAGGTATTTTGATGCTAATCTTTTTGAAGGCTGAGTAGGACTTGTAAGACTGATGGGGCTACTTGATCAGCATGATCACCATTCAACTGGCCTCCAGGAGGGATTCTACCAACAGCATCTATGAACACACACCTGATGAGCATTTCTCATCTGGTCTCCTGCCTCAGAGAGGGAGCCGCTATGCACAAACACTGTAGGTATCTTGGAATTCTTCCAGAACGGACTGTCTGTGAACTTTAACTATGAATAGGCAGGAGCATTGACAAGGACATAGTTTCATTGAAAAAATCAGGTAGTGAACTTTTGAGACACCTGATCTCCTGCAGGAAATCCAAGATGGAGATTGCCTTTCCAGCCACAGAGGAAGGGCTTTCCCTCAGTTAGCTCATTTCCTTCACTCAGGGAAACGGAAATTAATCCATGAATAAAGAATTTGTTTCTTGATCTAGCAAGTGATATACGAATAATGCCTTGCATAGATCTCCTCAGCTGAATTGGGGATGACCTTTAGCAAAATTCAAGTACATTTTCTTGGCAGCTCAGCAGATATTTTGAAAAATTTGGACATGCTTACATGGATAAAATTAAGGCCAGGTTCCACATTCAGATAAGCTGACATCCCCCTCCTACTGAGATAACTATAAGCATTTTTGTGATCCAAGCAATAATTTGTTGTAGTAACCCAAAATCAGAAAATACATTATTTGTGGGGGACAAAGGATCTTTTGTATGCCCAGCTCTGAGGATGGAGACAACACTTCAATCTCGAAGCAGGGGTTCGGAGCTCTGACCCCCCCCCCTTTCACTGCTGGTGTGGGACAAAATCTGCTGGCTACTCTCTGAGGTCGGAAGAGCAACTGCAGAGCAGGAGTAAGGGAGGGAAGAGACTGGAGTAGCTGGGATATGAGAGATCTTGTGGCTGCTCCAAACTCTTCCCTACAAGCCCCCTAGCTAGACAGTTGAAAAGAAATGTCTAGCAGAATTGTGGGATCACATAAAAAAGCCATTTGTTATTTGGATATATGCCATCCCCTGAAATGAAGAAAAGGAGGAGAAAAAAAAGAACTCTGTATTGAAGGATAAGTTGAATTCTTTCTCTTTTCATATTTCCAGTAACCACCTAAGAGTGGTTGCCAGATCACATGAATAAAACAGCATATATTTGAACACTATAAATTAATTTGCAGTATCAGACAGACTCTTATGTAATTCTGATTCATATTGATATAATTCCATACGTTTAAGCACAAGACTCACAAACTGAAAGCAAAGAATATTGCTCAAACTGCAAATTTAGGAATGAGACTTCCTCAGAATTTGTACCTCACCATCATGTAATAATTATAGTACATAGCCATAGTAAAAGCAGATGCTCCAGATCAAGGTAATAGAGAAGTGTGTTTTTGTTGTTTATCCATTTTTAAGAGTGAGCAGTGACAGTCATGCTCTTTTGGAAATGGGTTTCTGTGCCTGTAGCAAACAGTGATCTGAAATTTTACTGCATTCCAATTAACTGTACAGTGCTCTGTTTAGTAATGCCAATGTAAACACTAAAATAAATTTAAATAAATAAAATATTATATCATTTTGCCCTTACAGATACTACCTGTTAGCTTTGTCCTCAAATACTTATTTCAAAACTTAGAGTAACACAAAACATTATATCCAGTGAACCATGACTTTAGAAATTTGGAAGGACTTTTTATTCACTGGATTGGAATAAATTAAAGATGGCAAATCATAGTTCAGAATAGAATTACTTATGTCGCATATTTATATCTAGATCTATGTATTCTGCTTACTGTATCACCTCCAAAACATAAAAAATAAGCAACTATTTTAGGTGTATAGTAACTATCCTTCAATATGGTCTTTACATTTGGCTAAAAAAATTAGACATATCTAACCAATCTTCCCCTTACTCCTATCTTGTACTTATTTGTGTATACCTATTTCTGTTTGCATTAGTCATTCTCTCTAGGTAAATTGTCCATAAGACCAATGATTCCATCAGCAAATTATCCAGAAAATGCTGTCAGTGCACATTGTGACATTTGTGCCACTGGTGTATTTGCTGCTATTCCAGTGGTCTAATTAACCTGGCAGCAATCTCTTGTGGCCAGTGCTGTTTCCTTTGTTTGTTTTCCTTGGCACCATAGGTCAGACCTTTATTTCCTCCATACACCTCAAAATTGATCTCATATTTACTATTGATTTTCCCCTTCATTTTCCCCCCTTTTCCCCTTCCTATCTTTGATTGGCAGTATCATCCAGACAAACAGAGCGCAGATGTGTCAGCAGGAGAAGTGGAGGCGCGCATGCAGAGGTTCATCGAAATTGATCGAGCGTGGAAAATTCTAGGGAATGAAGAGACAAAAAAAGAGTATGACCTGCAGCGGCGTGGTAGGTTCCTGCCGAGGAGTGCTGTAGCAGCAGCAGCAGCAGCTCTTGAGAGCAGAAGCTGGAGTTGTAGCTCAGTGGTGTTTTTTCAAAATGCTTTTTATTTGACCGAAACACCTCATTTGCTCTTATCTCGCTTCCATATTTAGATGCATTATTTATACTGATTACTACACATCCATTAGGCAGTAAAAACATTAAATTACTTTTGACAAAGCATTAGGTGGTAACTGTTCTACTAACTCTAATGAACGTAGAATTTAGATAATAATGACTTTAGCTTAGCTGTTCTTCATTTGACAGTATTTAAAACATTTTCATTACATGTTCTTAATTATTTGAGTTATGCCCTTTGCTACATTTCATTGCTGAATTTTAGATGTAGGTTTTGAGTAATTTATGTCAAAGGTATACTGAAGCATATGGTTTCGTAAACACTTTACAGTCATTAAAACATATCCTTTCTTCAGCACTTTATGAATCAAGCATGATTTCAGAATATTTTTATAATGCATCTCTAGTTTAAGCTACTCCTTAGGAAGCGAGTTATAAATAAAAATCCAGTAAACACTTTAACCAGGCAGTTCCAGCATGCATTTCTTTTTTTTTTTTCTTTTCTTTTTTTATACATCTCGGAAAATAGCATCTTAAAACAGTGACAAGCTGTTGTGAGAAAGAAAGGGGGAAATGTAGGTCAGGTCTGTCACACATGGGCTACCATTACATGAAGTGATAGGCTGTCTTTCTGCTCTGGCCTCAGGATAGGAGTCCCTCAGCCTTCCATTAGAACCTTCAATAAATGTATATCCACCCTACATGTTAATGGGGGGAGTCAATAATAGCGTATTGCCTGTGGGGAAAACACTCAGTTGCACTCTGCAGTAAGACACTCTGGTCCAGCATTGACGTGTAGCTACCATCACTTTTCAGTGTGTCTGATAAAAGCTCACTGTCTCTGCAGCATGTTATTGAATTCCCTTCCATTGTATGTTGGCACACCATCAAACCTTTCTCTCTTGCTGTTTTAACTTCCCTGCTGCTAAGGTTGCCACAATTTTATTTGAGAAACAAAAGCTTAGTCAGCGTGGCTGGTTGATACACATAATCGACTGAATAATGTACTGTGCACACAGTCTTATTTTTGCTTTTGAATTACTTGTAGCTTATATTTCATTTTCTTAAGATGTGCTGCTTGGGGTGTTGTGTGTTAAATTTAAACATTTAAATAAGTAAAACTATTTTAAAATTAGTTAATGGAAAACAGTACTTCATTTTACTGAAAGCTAACAACTTGGTGCCATGAGTAAGATAATGTTTCTCTTGTGTAAATATTGGCAGAAATTGCTTTGTTCCTTTCAGTCCATTTTGTACTTAAATTTGAAATAGACACCCTAGCATAAAAGCCAGTTTGGTCAATTAACCTTTACATCCTTTCAGCAATGCAGAGAATGACAGTTGTTTTTTATTTTGACTTTTGTGTATGTGAAGCTTTTCCAGGTTTGCTTACTGAAATGTTGATAGCTGACCTCCTTGTACTAGCAGAGTAGATGAAATTTGTTTTGGTTGAAATCCACAGGCATTGATGCTATGCAACTCTAGTGAGGCTTCAAGGTTCTTAGAAAAGAGGTTGCCTAGTAGCAGTATTTGTGTAGCTTATTTTACTATCGGTGGTATGGCAGCAAGGTTACATAAGGACCCACAATTTGATTTGTGTTAAATGTGTTGTGTTGAATGTCTGTTCCTATATACGAAATCTTTTTTATTGAGAGGAAATGTACTGTGTCTTTTTTTTCTTAAGGTTCCTTTAAGTTCAGTGTCAACCATTTGGTGTTTACTTATTTATACAGTTTCAAAGCACATTCTGTGTTCTAGTCTTTATGAACCACCTTGAGAGTCACTCTTTGGCGGAAAGGCTGGATAAAAAATAAGTAGATAAAAATAATGAACAAATATGCATCCTCTTCTTCTGTTGAATGGACTTCACATTCTGTAAATACAGTTATTCAAGATCAGAGCCTTACAAGATCAGGGAGCCACTGTGAAAAAGTACCCCCAAATCCCATGCAAGCCTAGAAGAATAGCAAGATTGATGGTACAGAATGTGGCTGCAATTTCCAGTGAACCAGCAAGGACACATTTCCTCTGTCTGGTTCCCAGAATAGGTCGTTTATTAGGTTCTAGGACCTTGATCAACAATCAGGATATTGGAAGCAATATTCACTTGAAATGGTGGAATTCAGGGATTTTTTTTTCTTCCAAGGGTGGACTTGGCACAACTTCCTCTCAAGGAATTGAAGACCAACCCTCCTACCAACTGGCTTCTTCTGACAACTTTTATTAACCAGGATGAAGAAAGTTCCATCCTGGTTTATTTCACTCCTTCACACAACTTCAGTGCATCCTCAGGTTGAGCAAGATAAACTCAGCCTTCCAAGTAAGACAAGCAGCTGCGTCAATCATGACCTCAATACTTGTTCTCAAGGGAGAGCCCAAGTTAGAATTGATGGGAGCTATTTTTTCAGAAAGTGTTTTGCAAACTTGTTGCGACAAATAGCCAAGAAGTTTTGACCCCACTTGGACCCAGAATGTTAAAGTCTCTGTACAACTCAAACAATGCCACATAAGATTGTGCTGATTCAGTGATGACAGAGAAGAACAATTTCATTGGTATCATAATCGTGAAATAGACCTTAAATGGACTTTTGCTTTGTTTAGTTGTTTTTATCCCAAGCCTTCTTTCATCAGTGTTGTAACCATCCATCTAATCTGTCTTCTTGGTTAAAAGACTCCCAGCATTCTTTTAGTCTCCTCAAATTTGGGATTGTAAATGTATCTGACTTTATGTGCCATTGTTTACTTAGATTCTTCATTTGGGATAGTTTTATTTTTTTAAAAATGTTGTTATATACCATTTGTTAGCAGTAAACTAACAATAGCAATTCATTCTATGATTCTGAACTAATCCAGCAGTGTATCTAAGGAATGCTTTTATGTTATCAATGTACAACCATTATTCTTTGGGAAATTATAGTATGCCCGTAACAGCACCAGCAAATTATTGTATGTGCACTGTGTAAAATCTACCACTTAGTAAATGCCCCTCTGAACTCATATATTCACTTGGGATAGTGGGCTCACTTCTGCCATACACTTGGCGCACTGCTCACGTGGAAGGATCCTCATTGAGCAGGGGTGGGTGCTGTATACACCACATGTACACCCCACCTTCCCCATTGCTGCATCTATTTTTTCTCTGAAAAAGTTGCTAGTACAAACCCTTGCCAAGGCTTAGAGTGAGCATATTTAACTTGCAGAATAGCTACACTTCTCTATTCTAAGCCTTCAGACTGGCTTGCTGATTAATTTAAATAGAAACCACACACACCCCCTTTTTTTGAAGCATGATGGAGGTAGGAATGCAGCCCATGGTAGATCCAGCAGGAGAAATTAGCCCCCAGACTGCCCAGAGTTGCCCACCCCTGCCATATGGCAGGAGTGGGTGCTCACATGACTCCCATCACCTGTTAAGAGCCTGACATCCTGAGCACTCGTGCGTATATGCTTGGGGAGGGGGAAGAACAGAGCTGTTTTGTTCTATAGGAATTGCTTGTATGCAGATGCAGGAGGATTGGATCCAGTGCTATATGTATTTATGCAATATATTCATTTGGAAAAGCTATATAAAACTTGTGCCAATTTCAGTTAAGTTCTAGATGTGTTCAGCATTTGCAGCAAAAAGCGTAAATTAAAAATACTTTCACATGATATTTCAAGTAAAGCTCTTTCCTTCATAAAAATTGAAACTTTTTAGGAAACTGTACAAATTTTAAAGTACTGTTATTTCGAGAGGTCAGCCTTGAGAATGGTTTTCAAATGCTGCAGACTTAGTCTGTTATGCAGATTTGAAAAGAAAAATAAAATTAAGGCCTGCTGAGAGTTGTATGATTTTACAGATAAAATTTTCATTGAATGGACTTTAGCTCCAGTTTGTAAATCAAATGCTTTGACTGCATTACATATATTTTAGGCTGAACAATACTTGCCTTGGAAAAGAAATAACAGAAAAGGAAATAGTGTCAGCACAAGTTCAGTCATATCTTTCAGCTAGTCATGCTTTAATTCATTTTCAAACACTTGGGCCATGTGAGTTGTAACTAGTTTATTATTGCATTTACCTCCTAAAATTTATTCTTAGTGTCCCTACGGTTGCTTGCAGGATGGTTTGTGAGTGGGTGCCGGGGCAAGGTGGACCTCTTGGTGATCAGGTGGTCTGTGAGGTGGGCAACCCAGGCAGGAGGTGGGTAGGCAAGCAAGCAATCTCCCAGGCAGTGTATATGGTGGGCAATTGACCAGGCAGCAGCATAGCAGCTGGGCATTGGAGAACTCAAACCAGGGCAGGGGGGTCGAGGAGCATGGGGGTAGCCAATCAGTGCTCTGTCCATTGGCAGCTCAGCCATTGCTAGGCAAACAGGGCAGCAGAAATGGTAGCCAGAGTAGCCATGGCTGCTCTTGCTGCCAAACTGGGGAAATTGTGGGAAAACATTGTAACTGGCATCACACATAATGAGATGCATTGCTCAAATGTGGAAACCTTACAACAGACTGTTGGTCTTCCATGATGATTCATGGTAACTAGATGTGCCACTTTTCACTGTACTTTGGGTATTCACACATAATGACAAGCCATTCCTCCATGATGTGTCATTATGTGTGGATACACCTTCTGTATTCAAATATCTAAGTTCAGAACTGCATTTATCACAACTTCAAAGAGAGCAAAGTTCATTTTCTATTTCCCCCACTGGCTCATCTTTGAAAAGAAAAGCAAGAGAACCCTAAAGCAGGACAATCCTTCTCCTGCTTAAGGCAAAAATAACAATGTCTTGTTAAAGACTTAACTAAAATTTTATTAAAGCCTAAGCTTTTGTGGATCCGATTGTTACCCTCAATTGTTATTTGAGGATCACAACTACTATCTTTGATGGGCAGGTGAAAACAGAGGG